TCGTGGCATATAGCCAGGAAAGTAGTTGTTTTCTGTTGAATATGCCGAGAAAGAATTAATAATTTCATCACATAGAGAATGCGAATTCTCAATGTATTTATTCAAATGTATCCATTTTTTCATGTTTATAATATATCTGAGAATATTCCTTTTCAATACTTTCATACCCAATCAAGGGGTTCAAACTTGAACGATGGAAACTTGTTATTTTTATAGACCTTCAATCGCAGATTCGTGATTGGGTTTTTCTCAATTCAGAATTTCTTTCCACGCCCTGTATGATAAATGTCAGTTTGTCATACATCTAAAACAATTGCCACCCACATGACTGGAGATAAGTCAACAAATTTTCATTCTCAGATAGATGTCAGTTCCACTATAGTTTTAGTTATATTATTATAGAAATGTGAAAATTGTGTATTAAATGAAGAATGGCTGAAGGAATGACTGGACTTCAGGTTACTGAGGAGAGTTTGAAACTCGAAATGAATTTTATTCGAATCAAAATCATCTAACCTATGTGAAAGAGATGTGCATATATCCCAAACATCATGGATACGGATGATTTTTGATAAATTCACGACTCAACAAGAACAGAGTATGTATACTAGTATATTTCTCCCATACATTCCAATTTTCATACCAATTTGGTAAGTAATATATTTTTTATATCGTTATATTCATCATAGTATTCATCCGATTCTGGAAGAGAATGTCAATTCTCAATTTCAGACGATATTCATTTTATGCTCAAATTCCTATCGTGTATGTTCAATTGATATAATTCAATGTTCGTCGTGGCATATAGCCAGGAAAGTAGTTGTTTTCTGTTGAATATGCCGAGAAAGAATTAATAATTTCATCACATAGAGAATGCGAATTCTCAATGTATTTATTCAAATGTATCCATTTTTTCATGTTTATAATATATCTGAGAATATTCCTTTTCAATACTTTCATACCCAATCAAGGGGTTCAAACTTGAACGATGGAAACTTGTTATTTTTATAGACCTTCAATCGCAGATTCGTGATTGGGTTTTTCTCAATTCAGAATTTCTTTCCACGCCCTGTATGATAAATGTCAGTTTGTCATACATCTAAAACAATTGCCACCCACATGACTGGAGATAAGTCAACAAATTTTCATTCTCAGATAGATGTCAGTTCCACTATAGTTTTAGTTATATTATTATAGAAATGTGAAAATTGTGTATTAAATGAAGAATGGCTGAAGGAATGACTGGACTTCAGGTTACTGAGGAGAGTTTGAAACTCGAAATGAATTTTATTCGAATCAAAATCATCTAACCTATGTGAAAGAGATGTGCATATATCCCAAACATCATGGATACGGATGATTTTTGATAAATTCACGACTCAACAAGAACAGAGTATGTATACTAGTATATTTCTCCCATACATTCCAATTTTCATACCAATTTGGTAAGTAATATATTTTTTATATCGTTATATTCATCATAGTATTCATCCGATTCTGGAAGAGAATGTCAATTCTCAATTTCAGACGATATTCATTTTATGCTCAAATTCCTATCGTGTATGTTCAATTGATATAATTCAATGTTCGTCGTGGCATATAGCCAGGAAAGTAGTTGTTTTCTGTTGAATATGCCGAGAAAGAATTAATAATTTCATCACATAGAGAATGCGAATTCTCAATGTATTTATTCAAATGTATCCATTTTTTCATGTTTATAATATATCTGAGAATATTCCTTTTCAATACTTTCATACCCAATCAAGGGGTTCAAACTTGAACGATGGAAACTTGTTATTTTTATAGACCTTCAATCGCAGATTCGTGATTGGGTTTTTCTCAATTCAGAATTTCTTTCCACGCCCTGTATGATAAATGTCAGTTTGTCATACATCTAAAACAAGAAAAGAAGTTCCTGAATAAAAGCTTCATAGTTTTCAATGCTCTTCCAGAATCAGCAATGAAAAATAGGGGTTTCCATTAAAGATTTCAATGTTACCTCCATTTCCCACTCCCCTGGGGGTCAGGGGGTGAAACTTGTTTTATAACCAGACGTTCCCCTCCAAACCATACAACTTTTATTCGGCAATTTTTTTTTGTCAGATGCATACATTTCGAGAAATTTCCAAATAAAGATTAAAATGGGACACCCGGTATATCCGGGAAAAAAGTACTCACTTTTTTCCCACGGGAAAAAAGTAATTTATAAAAAGTGACATTTTATAACCTGCCAACAGAGATGAAATGCCAAACTTTTTTCCCGTCACAGAAAAAAATATTTAAAATGAGTCCCAATATCCTCTTCCCAAATAAATGCCTTTTTTGTACTCCTCAACATCGCACGCCAATGGTGAATAAAACTGTTCATTCTACTAAATACTTCCTTATTCTAACATACAATCACTACGAGAATTCCAAGAGAATCTTACCATCGATAACTGAGATATCAAAGTGTATTCATGAAAAGCGGGACAGAGTATGTATACTTATCACCTGTGAAGCGTTGTCCGCTGAGTAATTCAACAACTAAACACCCTGTATATTTCGTTCGAACGATCTCGAACATTACTTCTGAGTGTGAAATCGTATTCCGAAGAATTTTTTGTGATCTTTGTGTTGAAATCTTGAGTGTTCGTTGTTACAACTTACCGGGTGAGCCGGAATCAATTTACCTCCCCTTTATATTCGTTGCTATTTTGTATGGATAAATGGATGTTTGCTACATCAATTCAATTTCATGAGTGTACCCAGCCAACCATCGTGTGACATCAACATCTGTGTGATGTAACAACCTTGCATGAATGCAATATCTCGTTAACACATCTTATCGACGTAGATTCGATATCAACGTCGCAAGGTGACATCGCGACCAGGAAACTATGTAATGTGGCAGAGACTTCTTCAAACTACATCTCTTCGACGTTAACTAAATAATTCACATTGATATCCTCATGAGATATCTTTGTGACCTGTGAGTGTGACGCAGACATGCGCAAAACGAACGCACACGCCAGACGCCATGTTGAGTTGTGCATGGCCATATCAGTCAGTGAATGAGTCCGACTCCGTACAGACTATTTCCTTCCAAATTCTCTGTTGAAATATCTGAGATGATTTATAGCACACATATTATTATAGCAGTTTCAAATTGGAGGTATACAATCATTTAAGTACGACGGTCGTGAGTTCAATCACAATAGGTAATATTGTGATTACCTCTGAGATAGGACTATTGCAATCTAAAACAAGGTGGATGAAAGATCCCAAGATAATGTAAGTGTATTTGATATGTATCATTTATGAATAATGTGTATTTGTATTGTATTGCTATATATATGTGTCATGTTTTACTTCAAGATTACTAATTAGGGTGATTGTCATGATAAGTTTTGTATCATCTGTTTTTACTTTCGGAAAATAAACATTTTCTTCGTTAAGTTGAATGATTATTATTATTATATATCCCACGAATATCACAGCAGGTACGGCGACCACATCATCGATGTCGCAGTGTGATGTATTTGTAATATGAAATGTACACTTGTATGTGACCTGGTGGTGATTTTGCATGTGATGTCGCATTTCATGTCTGAACGACGTCACAGTGATGTTGCTTGAGTCGGACATTTTCACATCGCCACGTTGTATCGGTAGCATGTTTGTGACTTCAAATGCGATATCGCATGTCACAAAGTGATGTAGCGTATACATCACTTATACATCTCATGGTTGGCTGGGTATAATTTGGCTAAATTTTTTTATTTCAAAATAAATACAAAGTATAATTTTTTTCTGGAAATTTCAATTCAGTATAAAATTTCTGTTTTCTGTGACGGGAAAAAGGTTTGACATTTAATCTCTGTTGACAGGTTATAAAATGTCACTTCATGAATTCCTTTTTTCCTACGGAGAGAGAGTGATTACTTTTTTTCCCGGAGATACACTGTTGATGGCTTTTGTTGTGCTAGTTTCGAAAAATAAGCCAATTCCAACACGGTCTCCGAGGAAGAACTGCAAGTCCTTTCATCTTATGAGAGTATCTAACCAACTTCAAAAAATTCTATGATTTTTTTTTAAATTGAATCAAAATAAAGGAACTCATTGGTGTTGGAAAATGAAGAAAAATAAAATTGTAAAAAATATTCAGTGTGCATGAAAATCTTTGTGTAAAAACTTTGACATCGAATTATTGTTACTCACATTCTATTGTTTCGTTAGCAATACCATTGTTCCATTAACATATTATGTTACGAGGTGATTACAAGGAGTATTTTTTTATAAAACCATAATTATATGACCAGATTGTGAATTAAAAGTATGATTGTGATATATCGTTAGAAAGGTAATTTTATACTGAATCGTAATTTCCATAAAGAAAATTTATCATCTCCTGAAATAATAAAATTGGATGCCCTTCTGGTCATTCCGGAAGTGTCATATTGCGTCTGATACCATTCAAATAATAACACACACTAATGCAATCAAATTGATCTCCCAAATTTAAAACATAAATTATTAATAATAGCAACGAAGATACAAGGGGGTAAATTGTTTCCGGCTCACCCGGTATTATTCTGAGTATGCAATCATGCATTGATCAACTTTTTTCGTAATCCCATACTGTTATTCTGATTTAACTGTTTTGATGACAATCACTGAAAAAAATAGTTGGTAGTAAATACTAAACGTTCAGGCGAGCCACTACATTCATCAAATAATACCACTACAAAGTACTATAATATATCAAAATATTACTACTACAAAACTGTATCATTTTGTAGGGGCTTATGAATGAAGTGACTGGCGCCTATTTTACTAATCGTTTGGTATTAACTACCAACTATTTCTCTGAGTGAGTGAAAAGTTAATGTTAACAGGGATGTTGGGACTTCCGGTTGTTATAATCCTCGGCTGTGCCTCGGATCACAATATTCAACCTCATCCGTTATTATCTACATATCGACTACTTCGAAAATACATTTTGACAATTTTCGTTTCAGACCTTCTTCAACCATAGAGGAGTTCGATCATCACACGAATATGGACTACGTTTCTGCCGAACAACTTGGTATAAATGGGGGTAACTGTGCTCGTTTATATTCCGAGTGTAAATTGAATATTCTGGAGCAGTACTCAAGATTTATTGATTGAATAAAGTGTTCGTCTAAAATCAAATGACTTTTCCATTTCGATATAATTTACAAAGTGCTCCCAATTTAGATTCGATTACTGATTTTCGACTAGAGATCTATAAAAGCTATCAATAAACTTAGGTATCATTTGATGAATGATGAATAACTATATACTGGCAAGTGCATAAAAACGGCCAGAGAGATCGAATTGATTAAGGAAATTGGTGAGTATAGCAAGTATACCAAATTGTTCATTAATTGAGAAAACGGTTGTTTTCTATCATCTACAGTTTCATCAATCGTTTAGGGATTATCATGAAAAATTCAACGATACCGGGATAGATAGGGTTATTTCAAATGATTACGAAGATATTCGTGTTCTAAGTATCCATTAGCTCAATGAGTGTGACAGAGAGAAAGAAGTTTTGATATGCCGCAGTCATATCCTTTTGTCTTCAACATCGAAAAATGTCGAACAACACTTTACCAACACTCGTTCATCTGTAGAACGGCAAAGCTTCGGAATTCTTTTCCAATGGAAGTATTCTCAAGAACATATATTATGATGTATATTTTAGTGACATCTGGGGTCCCTCAAGGATCGCACTGTTCACCATTCCTATTCAATATCTTTGTGAATGATATTGGTAGCTGTTTCCTAAACTGTGATTTCCTTATGTTTGCTAATGACTTGAAGTTGTTTTGGCCTATCAAGTCTATGAGTGACCAAGTTCTCGTTCAAGCAGATCTAAATAGAATGTATGTACAATATGTACAATATGTACAATATGAATCTCAATGTCAATTAATGCTACCTTACCTCGTTCTGCGAAGTCGGAAGAAAATTTGATACTTCTTACAACATTGATAACCAACAAGTAGAATACACATCCTCTATAAAAGATTTAGAAGTAGTTTTTGATGAGCAGCTTAGATTTGTTGAGCACATAAACAAAGTTAGTGTGAAGGCATCTTAAGTACTAGGTTTAATTACGCGCAATTGGTCAGGTTTATCAATAGAAGCAATAATAAGGGTTTTCTTATCACTTATTGTGTTATCTCAGTTGGAGTATGCATCTATTATTTGGTCTCCCATGTATCAGATTCACTCTACTTCCTTCCTACTTGAAATGGGAACAAAATAAATTTTTGAGATTTTGTGGATATAGATTAGGTGATCATATATACAAAACCACGATTATTCAGATATTTTACGTGAACTTAACCTTAAATCGTTGGAAACAAGAAGAGCTCACGCAGATCTTTGTTTTGTATATTTATATTATATCGTGTCCGGAATTACTCGAATCGATTAACTTCAACGTTCCAAACAAAAATCTAAGACATACATTGTTATTTAACTTACCATTCCATTTCACAAATAATGGCAAGCGTGCACCCTTGGAAAGAACTCTGAAGTTATTGAACGACATGAACATCAATATATTTGAAAAATCATTGAATAGCTTGTAAGTAGAAGAGAGTGGTATTTGATTAGTCATCGAATTTGTAATTGTTAGTTCCCTAGGGTTTTTAGTCTCATCTAATCCATATATTCATGTGTAAACTAGTTATATAGCTATTATTAGGTAGGTATACTTTTCATATACTTACTTATGTGTCTGGTACATTCAAATGTGTTATTTATATTTTTTTAAAGTAATACTGTGACGGGGTTTCTCCCGTGAATAGATAAGTGAATAAATACATATTGATAAATAATTGAATAAACAAATATTCAAAAGTCCAAAACAATTCCAATACCTACCTTTCTTCCCTATCCTCTCCCTATGTATACGCATGATGTTATTCTAACTTTATAGGAATTTCCTTTCGTGCGCTCCAAGAGATAAATTAGTTACGAAAGTGATTCTTTCTCTGTTGAATTCAAAGAATCCTAAAATATTTCTCACATGAACCATAGTTTTTTTTTCGATACTATCCGAGAAATATATTTTTTCTAAAAGCTAGAGTGCATGATTCACCCTATTCCCACAAGCAATTTAGTTTGGGAAGTGTCATTTTCCCGCAGTAGTGCGGGAAAAGTTTTCCAACTCTAGAGCAGTAAAGTATCACTTTCCGCACTTGTTAAGAAAATTACTATTCTATGTGGTCCAGAATTACTAAAATAATTGAATTTCTACTCGAGAATCAGACGAATTAATGTATATTTAATATTATGTAATCTCCAAAAGTTCAAAAAAAATTTCATACCATAAGGCATCTCGGGAGCACCACTATTAATTGGAACGAAACAGTGGATCGTACGGAATCGTCTTCGGCTGAGGCAAATATATTCAATAAAACAGCAATCATTATATCTACACACAAATATATTTAAAACATGTTAGTCCAAACAGAATGGGCACAAGTCGGATATTGCTCTGTACAGTTATGGTTTGTATTCGCTGCTTTATCATAGTCGTCCTCATCTGGAAAGCCATCATGGGGTTTTATTCTGGAATTGAAAATCATTAATACTATATTATCTGACTTGAAACAATCTCTGGCTTATTCGAATGAATATACATGAAAAAACCAGGACAGTCTGATGGAAAATACATGTTTGTTGCCATGCAAGATAAAAAATAGTTATTTTTTCACCACGGAAGTGAAGGAAATCATTACCTACGGACTAAGATAAGATCGATCACAATAAATGTTTGTCAGTCATTATGTGAATAGACCACAGGTGACGTAACCCCATTCAACATTGCATGCCTTTTTAAAGCTTTATAATTAACCCCAAAATATGAATAATAGGTCCCGTGCACGATGACCGACCCTGGAGGTAAAATATTAAAACACAACCTCACTTTTTTTATCTGTTTACAGATCAATCAAAGGATTAAAATAGTTTTTTACAATATTTTGGCATACGTGTTTTTTACGTTATATTCATTGATTCAAGCATTCCTTCGCATTGCGCTGTTGTACAATACACCAAAAATGCAGCGAGAGACGAAGGATTATGATTTTTCAGGTGAAAAGTAATCTCACATAGTTTTCATTATAAAATTTTGTCATTTCTTATTAAAATTCCTTCTGCCACTTCTGCAATGGAAGCTAATACCGATAAAAGATTGAAAATGTCTACAACACACACACACACGATCATATTTCGTCAGCATGTCAGATCAGTCATCCCGTTTGATTGCATGAATTCAATCTTCTTGCATTATTTTAGAAATTTCACGAGTATTTCTATAAGTCCCTATTGCAGAAGGAGTTCCGCTGAGAAATCAGAGAAATTACCAAATTTCAAAAATGAAAACTATATGTGAGTGACTGTATATAGTAGGTCTTGGGAAATAAGGTTGTATGTATATTTAAGATAACTTTATTCAAATATTCACTTCAGTCTATTTTCCTCTTCAGCAGTACTCTAGTGGAACAAAAAAGAACGTGAGTTGTAATGAATTGAAATTATGAGTGATGGATAACAGATTTGACACTGTCAGTTCTAGTATATCATGTCAAGGACTGCCACACTCGTCTACAAGGTGTTGAGTCCTGATTGTTAGCTCAACTTCGAGTGTGCATAGCGTTGCTTTTCCAACAGTAGGTACTTACTTTTTAATCATAATGTACCAACCGGATTCCTTCGTCTCCCGCTGCATTTTTTGTGCATTGTACAACAGTACAATGTGATGACATGCGCGATTTAATGAATAGCCGCACAAAACACGATTCGTATATCCAAAATATCACTGCGTTTGAAGGAGGTTCTATCGCAAAATATCATAATTTATCTCCATCAGTAATTAACTTCATTCAGCCAATGAGAGATTTATGGGATTTATTCATAATACTTGACAAAGTAGAATTGAAGAACCTAGATTATATCCGATTGCTATTATGATACAGTTATTTTGCATTCAAAGCACAATTTTCGGAAATCTAGACATATTACGAAAAAAAAAAAACGAATATATCAATTTTTCACAAACTTCACAGTGAGATGAAAACCTCAATATAGGAAACTTCCCCATTAATACGTAGAAGCATAGGCTGCCAATACTCGCGGTGACATGAAACAATGGGAAAACATTCCTATCTTACCCTTCTCTTGTTAGTTTTTTTGGAATTTATATGTTTCATGAGTTATTGTTTACCTAGATCAACACGACCTGTATAATAGCTCTACTGTTCTATGCATTGATTGAAGTTGAATCGATTTAAAATGTATTGGTATACTCACCTGAATATAGTCTTGAGAATTTCTTCAATGAAAGTACCTTTGCCTTTTGGTACTTGACTAACTTCACATAATGCTTTCATTACACAAGATTTTCCATCCTTGCTTAGCCTGAAATTGATTATGAAAAACAAAATGAACTATGAATCGAATGAATCAAAAATTAGAAAATGTCCATCCCATACTAGAAAAATTGATTGAAAAGTTATCTGAAATAACTTGTAGGTAGCGAATCTTGGCATTCATAACTCCTCTATAAGTACAAAGAAAATTGGGCTGAAGTGTTTCTCATAAGTTTGATCAACTTTTACCACCTCTTCTTCAATACAATTAAGCACAGACACAATAGTTATTTATTATACAAGGGAAAAAAGTTGTAGATTTTAGCTCCAGGTTGTGTTGTCTCCCGACGCGTAGCGGAGGGAGACAAAAAACCGTGAGCTAAAATCTAATATTTTTCCCGTGTATAATACACTATTTTTTTCTGTGACAGAAGGAAGGACGAATCAATATTGAGAAGATATTACATTATTTCGAAATCTGAAAATTATCGACGTGAAATTTCAAGTTTTTAACAGTAGGGACACCTGCGTTTTATAGACATCTCTATCATTATTTTGAAGTAATCAAATATCTGATGTCACTTCTGTCAGTTCAATTCTGTGATTTGATTTTGAAAAATTGCGAATTCAGTAGTTGTAGTTGTTTAGTAATATACGAAACCGCGAAGTCGAATGGAAGATAAAAGGACTTGCAGTTCTTTCTCGGTGACGGTATTATTGACTCATTTTTCGGAACTATAGCACAACAAAAGTCATCAACAGAGTATATATATGTGATATATATCCGGGAAAGAAGTACTCACTTTTTTCCCACGGGAAAAAAGTAATTTATGAAAAGTGACATTTTATAACCTGCCAACAGAGATGAAATGCCAAACTTTTTTCCCGTCACAGAAAAAAGTTATTTTTCATGGGAACGTTATCATAAGTAGGTACCCAGCGAGCACAAACATCCCTGGGATGTTTTGGGATGTTTTGAAAATGTTGGCATGAAGATGTTATCTTGAGACGTAATATGCACTGACCAAAGAGGTCTTTGAAGGATATTGAAGTATTGTTTTTATTCTTCTGTGGAGTTTTTTTTGTTTGCCTACTGAGAGGTATCCCTGGGATGTTTTGGGATGTTTTAGAAATGTTAGGCATGAGGATTTTTTTTTGTGGCGTAATATGCACTTCCCAAAGAGGTCTTAGAAGGATATTGAAAGTATTGTTTTTGTTCTTTTGTGCCCTTTCTTTGTTTGCCCCACCACAACGTCTCATGCTTACGTCACAATACGATGAATTCTGATTTGTTTTCGATTTTGTTCTTCTTGTTCGCAATTGGCATTCGCGTTTGCAGCGTGTCACGCTTACATCACGCTGCTAACGAACAGAAAGGGATTTGGTGAAGTTTATTGTGTTAGAAGACTTATTTAGTTTGTAATAATGACCATCAGATGCAAGATGTGTTGTTCGGTGCATCAGTGTAATCAATATATAAAAGTACGAATTCATCAATACACAGCTTCTCCGCAGTTACAAAATTGGGAAACCTATTTCCAATTATATGTCTGTGTGTAGTAAGCACTACTCAGAAACCGATTAAAAAGGAAATTTCATATCAAGAAAATATTTTTATGTTCAATCTATTTTTAATGCATTTTTTCATTCGAGGGAAATGGAATCCTAATGCAATAGTTAATTTTGATAAAAGGCTTCAGAAAAGTACCTCGAAAATGTTTTTTTACAGCGATTTAATGTGCGCAAGACGCGTTGAAAATGTTCTGCTGTGTCCATGAAAAGGCTTTAAAAAGAACTAGGGAGAAGCTAGTTTTGTGACATATCAAGGACATCTCGATAATTGCCGCCTGCGGCGGACATTGGCTGTTCTATAATAGTTCTATTCATGTGTGAACAGAACATCGCAGTGGAGGTTCAATGTCTCGAAATCTCGTACTTTTAACATCTCTGAGATGTTTTTGTGCTCGCTGGGTATATACCTTTGGAACCGATAAGGACTGTGAATTATCAACCCTTAACTACTAACATTCCAAATATATAACGTTGTGACTAACCATACATCTCACAGACGGGACTATTTAAATGTCCATATAAATCAAAAAATTTTCATTTCATTTTTGTGAGCTATTCAAACACGTTCTCAACATATTTGGCGAAGAGAAATACAAATTTCAGTGGCGATCAAAATTTCATGTTCAAAATTTTTGACAATGATCTATAGAAATACTAAAATGAAATTGAAATACTAAAATTATCGATGATATTATTGTCATTCTGAATACAGTTAGAGTCTTTATTAAATATGGCACAGAACTAAGTCATAAACATGCAAATTGAAAAAAATGACAATGCCTTTATATCTAGATAAAGACGCAATCATGAGTATTATAGGTGAAATTGAACTTTTATTCTAAAACAGAACCACATATACATAGATCAACTTCAGGGTACTGAATGAGTGCTGGGTGGACATGAATTACGTGGTAGGACAATGGCCGATATTGAAAAGCAGGGGTAATCCAACAAATCGGATGCTGATATGCCGTCTTTGAGACGTATGATTAGGTAGTAGTTAAGGGTTAATATTGGTGAAAACTCTCTAAACGGTTGAACTTACGCAGATAACAGCTTCTCAATCTTTTTGTACAAATCTCTCCTGGTCCGTCTGTGGATGGAATGATATACTGGATGATCGTAGTAAACTGGATCGTTCCCAACATTTGGAGTATAATCGTCGAAATAGTTGTTCCTGGACAAGATTCAAGGAGATTAAGTTTTTGCTCGATTTCATACTGTTTTCTAGCTAGATTGCCTAGAAGACCTGAGATCTAACGCTCGTTCTAGTTATCGCAAATCATATAAACCGATTCAAACATCAATTCGAAATGGGCGTGTACACCTTAGGAGAACTTTTAACTCAAACCATGTTTATAATGATCCTTATACATAAATAATGATTGACGACATAATTCGATCGAAGAATTAACTGGAATGTTTTGTTTTTGGACGTAAATAATAGTACCTTCTGAAAACGGACCCTCTTATGACGTAGATACCTCATCTTGCCATAATTAAAAGAAAATACCAAACCAAATTCTATTTTGAATTCAGGCTACATTTTGAACCACTACGTTATTAATGTTGACCAGTTTGATTTCCAGACCTAATTCCTATTCTCTTTCAGATTCATGTGGAGAATTCTAAAGAATTTGAATAATAATATGTTTTTCCTGATAATAGGAAACGATTCTGGGAAAAGTTGGAAATCAGTCATCTTCAAGAAACCAAATTAACTTGGATTCATAATCGTTATTGTGAATTGATGTGTTATTTGAGCAATAAAGTGATTTCAAATGTTTTATCAACATTCTTAATCGTAGTTTCTTGAATTTGAACATGATTTATTCAACGACTTACTAGGCATGAATGACGTAATTCAACAGTAGGTACTTAATGATAAAGCAGTATGTACTTATGTACATACGTGCACATACGACATAAGTATATTCTGTGCAATGGCAATACCATTTCTGCAGTATATGCTTTTTCTAGCAAAACACGTGTGGTATTTATTTGAGAAATGGCTAACCATAAGGTCTCTTGGCCAAAGTAAAATCTAAATAGTCGCATATCTCAAAATGACTGTTTTGTACATAAGTATATAAGTATCAAATTGGAAATTTGAATTCAGGTAAATATTTCAAAACGTCAAAGTATACGATTGGGTTGGAAATACACCCAAAATCGGACAAGAATTCAAAAAGTTATAGGGCAATTCGGTTGATAATTTTGGTAGCCGGTATGTTTTTTCTGGTGTGTGTATGTCTCTTCTCCATCTTTTCATTTTTTTTTGATGATATGAAGAATGGGCCAGGTAGCCGTGCGGACAGAGTGTCAATATTCTAATCCGCATTCGCTTGCCGGTCGTGGGTTCGATTCCCATCGACTGCTGAAATTTTTCTGATGGCCCAAGAAAGTGTTTGGGATCACACGTTAAAAGGTAAGGCCCCCGTCACTCCTTCTAGTCCAATAAATAAAGGGAAAAGTTAACATTAATTACGCACTATTTTCATCTTCCGGTTGGAAGTAGCTTTTGGTACCTTATTGAACTTGAGACAAAGTTTGACTGGAAAACGCGTGCGATGCTGGAGAAAATGGCCCCAAAAGACCAGAAAGATAGGTTTTCAGCCAATATCTCCTAAAATATGGCAGTTAAAGATTTTCGGTTCAGATAAAAATTGAAGTTCAGTTAATTTTCTATAAATATGGTCCTCATCGTTTTTCTCGAAAATCTGCCCGGTTTCGAGAAAAACGGCACGAAGCGCACCTCGAATAATGAGCTTCTGTTGTATGCCGGAGAGCACAGTCCGTGTATTTACACATCGGTGGGGGGACAAATTATTCAATAACTTTGTTAAAAATGCATTTTTTCTCATGATTCAAAGTTCATGTGAAAGAGGAATTCTGCTGCTATCATACCCTGTGAATTGAGTCACGCTTGACTCTTTTGGCCATATCGGAACATGGGTCAAACTTTCTGCTCCCGGTCAATTTTGACCTCGCCAGGAATTTGTTCCTATTTTTTTAGTATTGCACTAATTTACTCAAAATTCTCTTGATTATGGGTCCTCATAAGGTCCTTCGTCATCTCTGAAATTTATATACCCTAATTTTTTTTAATTTTCATTCAATCTTTGTTTATTGAATTCCAATTTTTTGCTGTTTTTGGAGCGCGGGGAAATTTTGTGAACAACCATCAATTAAAAATTTATACATGATCCGACTGGTTTCTATGATACATCATTTGAAAGCTAAGGTCTACTTTTCGATTGTGCAATTACTTTGTTAGACGAAGTCGTCCATTTTTCAATAAAATTAGAAAAAGCGGGGTCAAGGAAAAAACGCACTTTTTTTCGGTGTTTTTTTTTCTCCGTGCTATTTATTTCTAACATTTCAACACCTTAACTAGTGTAACGGGGGAATTCCCACCTTTCCATCGATGTATATAAGTCATACCTTTGATATCCCGGAAAAAAACCAGTATATCTAAATGTACACGCTATAAATTATTACTTTCGTTCCTCCGTCGTTCGCCGCGTGTGTGCTCTACGTGGCGCTCGGGTCGTCTGCTACAAACCATGCGGCCACGCAGGGTATGATAGCAGCAGAATTCCTCTTTCACACGAACTTTGAATCATGAGAAAATATGCATTTTTAACAGAGTTATTGAATAATTTGTCCCCCCGCCGATGTGTAAATACACGGACTGTGCTCTCCGGCATACAACAGAAGCTCATTATTCGAGGTGCGCTTCGTGCCGTTTTTCTCGAAACCGGGAAAATTTTCGAGAAAAATGATAAGGACTATTTTTGTAGAAAATTAACTGAACTTCAATTTTTATCTGAACCGAAAATCTCTAACTGCCATATTTTAGGAGATATTGGCTGAAAACCTATTTTCCTGGTCTTTTGGAGCCATTTTCTCCGCCATCGCACGCGTTTTCCAGTCGAACTTTGTCTCATGTTCAATGAGGTACCAAAAGCTACTTCCAACCGGAAGATGAAAATAGTGCGTAATTAACGTTAACTTTGCCTTTTTTTCCTCCTTCATTTATTGGACTATTGCTCGCACAAGACTCTCGAAGACTTCTGAGGGTTGCTCGTAAGGGGGCAACCGAATGACGGATAGAACAATTTTAGAACAATTTTCTTAGAACAATTTTCTTCTGTACTGTACTGTTACCAGCTGTGTCGCCTGCAAAATACTCACTTCTGTTCTCTAGATCCACCAGATCCGTACTTGGTTCCTTCGTACACCGGACTCCTGGACGAACTGACCGGAGTGTACCCATATGACTCCTTGACAAACGGATTATAGTAGGTTCTTACAGGTTCTTGAAGTAACTCGTTCCGATACGTCCATCCTGCTTGTGAGTTATCGGAAGGCACGTCAATCCTTTCCGAGGGGTGATCCTCGACTGGATGGATATAGTCGACGTAGTGGTGATGCTGGAAATTCAAATAACCCAATGGAAAGTGTTCATTCCCAGACACTTTCTCATTGAGAAAGTAGCATTTTTTCGGTCTAGTCCGGGAAGAAGGTACTTCCCGGACTAGACCGGGAAGTATCACATCGTTGTAACTATGAAAATCTTGGTAGATAAGGTTTTGATAAATGCAGGTGATAATTACTATAGCAGCTAAATATCGGCTGACAGCTATTTGACATGAAATCAGTTGACATCTTGATTTTTGAAAGTTTGGTTGCAATTATCGCAATAACTATCGAAAGCAGCAGCGATAGTAAGTTTGAAACTGTCCATACCAAATTTTCAATATAACAGTTAGTAGGTATAGGTAGGGTCCCTTGATGGAAATTGACATTAAAGTCATCTTAACAAGGTACGGACAGATCCTCGTCTCCTCTCACTCTAAAGTGTTTGTGAAACAGTTATATAGTTCCATCCTTATTCAATTCTGGGGATAAACACTAGATTTTTGATATTTGTTGTTTTTTAGGTTATATTGAGGTCATTGGCGTATCACACGGAATTTTCGTATGGAATTCCTGATTCAACTATACCAAGATATAGATGAACAATCCTCTAGTTTTAGAGGTTACTACTCCAGCATATTCTTTGCGAGGTAGGAAACATATAAATTGTACTGAAAGCTTTATAATATACTTCACCAAAAGATACTGTTCTTAGACCAGGGTTGACTGAATTGACTGATTGAATTCTGATTATTTCATGCTGAGCAGCAGTTTATCTAAGAGCTGAATGACCTGAGCCTCATGGATGAGAAATGGTGAAAACCTCGATGTGGGTATCTAAATTACTGTAATCTTGTCATGTGTGCTAAATATATTCTCGGAAATCCAACCCGGAGAAGAATTTATGGAGTGACTAATATCACACTATGTGTATAACTTATTCAATCGTAAAATCTTTTTATTTTCTTGAATTTTATAATCATTTACATTCAGAAATCATTTGACACTGTCAATATTTTTTTTTTCAACAATATACAAATTGTATTGGGAACGAATAATAAATATCATTACTAGATTACTAGCTGACTTGGCAAACGTTGTTTTGCTATGCAAAATATTTCTAGAAAACATTCTTTTAGTTGAATATCTACCAGCACACTTTATTTATCTCATTTTCTACTTCTTTTTAGTTCGGCTGTCCATGAAAGCATGTTTCTTTAGTTTTTCAAAATACTATTCATTTAATACCCCTTTTCAGCTCGGCAATCTATTTCTGCAGTTTTTTTAAACTACTATTTATTGTCTACTTCTCGAAGGGATGATAGCAGAGATTTCCGAAGAACATTTCCCGTGGAAGTATCGATAGAAAAGTGAAAGGTCGCCGACCTTTCTACGGTGTTCCAATGATTTCAAAGAGTGAGTGAGTGTGTCGTCACCCACCAGACGAATGGTTCTTCTCTGGATGGAATCTAAGAGCATCAGCGTATGTTTTGTTGCTGAACTACATATGTGGGAAGAGTATTCTAGAACAGGCCGTATCTGCGCTTTGTAGATCATGAGAAGCTGTTGAGGTGTAAAGTAGCTTTTCGCACGGAACAAGAATCCGAGTTTTTGTGAAGCAGCTTTTGCGATGGATCTGACATGATAATTCCATGAAATAGTGTTGCTGATCGAAATACCGAGCATAGATATGGTGGGCTTGGTGGGGATGGTGGTGCCAGACATTACAATATCGAGCATACTGGCATACAGGCTTGAGTTTTGGTGGCGTTGAATTCAACTAGGTTGTTGGTTCCCCAGGCTGTGATTTCAGCAAGGTAATGCAATTTCTTACTAAAGTTAATCGAAAATTTCCTCAGTGTAGAAAGATATATGTACCTGATGAATGAGGAACATTAACCAGAAAAGATGAAGTAAAAATTTGAATTTGAACATTCAAGTAGGAAGCCATTCCGAATCAGAGTAGAAAACAATCTTTTTTTATTAGTTCTAAGGGACCTTGATAAATATCGTTGATGGTGTTCTCTCATAACTGATTCCATCAAGTGACTCTAGTCTTCTCGAATCTGTATCGGTACATTCTGCACAAACACCAATTTTTATGCAGCATTTCGAAAAACACATTTCTAGGATATGTCAACTATTGTACTATATGATGCTATATGTTTATAAGCCATAAATCTACTGATGTCAGCTGAAATTGAAACTGTCTATAGATTTCATTCAGAGGCAGTTTGTAGAAGAGATATGAAGGATATTTGATACTGACACTTTGTTCTTACGACGTGGTTGCTACTATCAAGTATTTCATTACGATTAAGTAATGGAGTGTAAAACATTTCTCACCAACTCAGTAGTTGTTGTAGGAGCTTCGCTAGTACTGATTTTCCCCTTAAGAATCAGTATATCTTCCGGTTCCGTAGGCAACTCCCATGCCATAGCTGCAGTTACACCAAAAGTGAAGAACTCTCCTACCCCAACAGAAGGCAACGTGAGGCAGTACACTGTAAAATAAACAATAATTAAATTGTCGATGTGTTTTTTATTTTTCCTGAAAATTTAGAAAGTAATTGTACAGGGTGTTTCATGAGAAGACTCACATAGCCAAATGATTAATAGGGGAAATCAAGACGAGTTGATGTATATACAGTGTGACCCACTTCAAATGGGACCACCCCTGTATCTCATGTAATCGTTAGGTAAGGATCCTGAAATTTTCTAGAGCGAGAGATATACCAAAAATACACTCTATGACCAAGTGGGGTCAGTGATATACACTGCTCGCCAACAGCCATGGAACCACCCGAATTTCCGGAAAATAAAATAAATTTCGACCTGGCTGATAAATCCAACTTTCAACTGGTATCCTGTGAATTGATTTTTTCTACATTTCTGTTGAATAGTAATTGACAGAAAGATAGACGGGAATAAAAAACACGAGATTTTTTATCGAAATTCCAGATAGATATTATTATTCCTGACTTTGTTTTATGGGTGTCGCTTGAAGTGAGATATCTAGTAGGTCCTGTTTCTCATTCGTGTGACGAGACGTGACGTTTATTGATAATCCAAACTGATAGCTAGGTACTAGGATAGTACTAGGTAGGTACCAACTGATGAAGTTACGACATGAGGATTCATGTGCCCATATTATGGTGATTTATCAAATTAGTTATGCCATCACGCATAAACTTAGCTCCATTTTTTGTTATTGATACACTTCTGCAAGTGATATGAGGATGCATTTGCTATTTATTCAAAATTCCTAATGTTCATCCTCGTGAAGGTTTTACTGCAACGTATTCATGGCTCTGAAAATATTCTATGGTATTAAACATAGCATAGCATTTGGATTTTCGTCTTGTTCAGCATTTGGAATATGAAGTGGCATCTAGAGTGTAAGAATATTTCGATTACAAGTGTTCACCTATCAACAAACGCCACGTTACATAAAATAAAAACAGAGCCACTTTATAACAAATTCATAAAATAGAACCACGAGTATTCATATCTATCTAGAAGTTCGGTCAAAAACTATAACATATCGAATCATAAAAAAAACCAGAACTAATCTCTTCTGTCAATTTCTATCCAATAAAAATGTACAAAAAAATCAATTTGAACGAATCCAGTTAAAAGTTGAGAGTTATCAGCCAGGTCGAAATTGAAAATTCATTCAAAAGTTTTTGTTCCATATTTTTTTATTGAACCGGTCAAAGTGTGCCGTGTAAATTGAAGAGCAGTTCTTATAGTATTTTGTCTGATCTTTCTGAATCTGATGGAATTTTTCGAGAAAAGTGGTCACAAAGTGAACTTTTTTGACATAACAATGAATCATAAAATTTTCCCAAGTACGGACCTGGATTTTTTTTTCATAATATGTTATCTTGAAAAGTTTCAGTAGAGATACGTCGCTGCCAAATATCAGCAGATTACAACGAATAATTTCTGTAATATCGACCATCAAAGTTATATAGCAATTTCACATAATATCTTCGTTATGGAGGGTCAAAAAATGTTTTCATATATATACATCAACTCGTCTTGATTTCCCCTATCAACCATTTGGCTATGTGAATCTTCTCATGAAACACCCTGTATAAGGGTGAGCGATGGATTGACAGCCTCCTTCTATGATGATACATAAATCGATCTCAATTTGTACCCTTTATCAATAACTCAAACGGAGTTGAGGATGTTGCTTGCGTTTGCAGAACCACCAGAAGTAATTTTATATCTCCTACCACACAGCATTTTATATAAGATATTCCCAAACTTCCAGATCTCAATAGATAGATCTCCCATAAAACTCATCCACTTCTTTATGAAAGTTTCATACTGCACGATAAAAATATACTTAACTCTCTTCAAACTCACGTCAGGAATAAATAACTACCACAACAAACTACACTTATGAATACTGACCAAGTTGGAAAGAACTTCCTTCTGGGAAGGTTAGATAACGCCTTTTTCTGGATAAAGTTTGCCTCGATCCATTTATGTTGTTTATCTCCTTCGATATTTCGTCTTGTAAACTTCCGATCGATACATCTATTGAGACGAAGAACAATATGAAATACAAACAGTTTTTCAACATTTCGTTGGAGGTAACCAGAAACTGACCAAAATGTGTCCCTATTGACTTTAACGTTAGCTGAAGGCTATAGAAAAATGTGCAACTGTGATATACTAACTGTTATTTCAACAATGTTTGCTTTTTCATTTTACAGGATTAGGAGTTCCTGCTAATGTCATAGACCTACGTTATAAAAGTGATATATTGTAGTAATACACATATTGTAGGAAACCAATTTCTGACGATTGCAACGGTATTCTGTAACTTGCAAATTGAAATGTATAATGATCTGCTTGGAATTGATGCAATCTTCTTGATCAAGTCACTGATTATAATATGTGATAGGTACGTTCAGGTTTGGGCCTGAGCAACGATGTGTGCTCAGGAGATTATTCGAGTAAATAAACACGGTAAATAACATGATTGTTTCATTTTAGTAGTTGAAATGGATCGTGGTTATACATTCGATATGACGAATAGAGAGGTTATTATTGAGAATGAAGTATATTTTCTCGTTTTTTTATGTATTTTTCGTTGTTGTTGTTTTTGTTGCTTGTGAGTCGATTCAACGTGACTTGGAAGTGGTGGAAAAAATAAACATTCTTTCCAGGAGAAAGAGATACGTTGCATTTCCAGAAGGATCTTCTTTCGTCGTAAGTTTTTCAAACCGTGTTGTTTTGGTCCAGTAACTTTACTTAGATGAACATGATCGATAGGTACCTACTTGAAGTTTCACTCTTATAACTTTCTTGTTACTATAAATAAACAAATGAAATTCGGTCTGTTATTATAGTTCACAAATATGCATTATTTGACGTATTGAATTGTTTTCTGTCACTTCCGGTTTCATCGGAAATGATCCATATTTTCTTATTTTCAATTTTCATGGTATATTTTTACTTATTCCGATAGAGAAAAAAATTGTGAATATTTTGAAACTCCATTTCCACTCTAGAGTGATTATGATATTGATTCAAAGTATCAATTATGTGGTCTGAACGTGTTCGTAACGAAATACCCTCTTCAGATATGATGATGAGCCACCCTTGTTCTATTTGAAAAAACTGAGTCAACATAGTAATTACAATGTTGTGGAAAATGCAGAATGAAAATTTTAGGATAAATGTCAAAAAGTGGCAAATGGGGTTTCATTGTATTCACAGAGTTATCCTCTATCCAAATAAGTAAAAATATATCGGATGTCCCATTTGAAATAGGTATATGCTTCTAGCAGTGGCATAGCCAGAAATATATTTCAGGGGAAGGGCATACCTGATTTTTTAAGTGATTTGTAGTGAAAAAATTTAAAAAAAATCTATGAATGAGCAAATCTACGCTTATTTATTCAAAAACGAATAACAAATTGAAGAAGACAATGAATTGAAACAAAGTTCTAAGAAAATAACAGAAACTTATACAGGGTGTCCGGAATTTATGCGCGAAAAATCAAGGGGGTGATTTGGCATGAGAAAACATGAAATTTCAATTCATATATACGTGGGTCCGGAAATGCACAGTTTTCAAGATACAGTGTGTTGAACTTTTTAGAATACTGAATAATATTCATGAATACCTCAAATATCCTTCCACAAATTCTCTTGAAATTTGGAAATGATATTCTTTGTCATGAGGAGCATATTCAGTCATAATTAAATTGGAGTAGATGTGGGACCACACGAAATATAGGTTCGGTATAAAAAACCCATGCACAGTATATATTTTATATAGCGACAAATAATGACTGATTCAAAACAATAGAAACCATCAGAACAATAATGAAACAATTGATGATTTTCTACTGTGAATGTGGTTTAATAATTTCTACCCACTCTCCACTAGGTATATCATTTTTTCAACAAGGAGACAATCGGTAGCGAAAACATCATAATTGTGCTCTTCCACATAATGTTGCCACTTGTAAAATTGTAAAACACACTGTATATGATGAAAATATTTTTTAGGCGACTTTGTGTGCGACTATACAAACTGTAACTGGTTTCAGCATATACTATGAAGGCATAAATTGGGGAATATCATGGCTATTGCCGAATCGATCTTCTGTACAGGAATACGTCACCGATTATAGAAAAAGAAGAAGGCAGCGTAGAGATCTGTATACCAAAATAGAGCAACTGGTAGATAAGTACGTTTTTTTCACTACTAACATCAGAATTATCTGCGGCAATAATAATTGTTTGCACTCCTATGACTAAGGTCTGATTTTTAGTCCCTTCAAACGGGGACTGAATTGACCCAGTGAGTCCCCAGGCAACCGTTGCTCAGTTACATCATTATTTTAAAAGAAACTGGCAAAATAACCAATTGATACCTGTCAAAATATCTTCTTCACGTGGCAAAATTTGTTATTTTACTAAATCCAATCAAAATGCATGATTCTGGCTGATAATTTGTTTATATACTGATATACTCCAAGGCAGTCGATCGAGTCTGGCACCACGGACTCCTCGCCAAGATTCCATCATATAGCTTGCATCCCCAGTTATGTTCTCTGCTAGCTAGTTTACTCTCAAACAGGTCTCTCCATGTAGTGGTAGACGGAGTTTTATCTGACTCTCTTATCATAAATGCTGGTGTTCCGCAAGGATCGATTCTAGCACCAACACTATTTCTACTCCACATCAACGATTTATTGAAAGCAACTTTATCTCGAACTTTATGTCCAGCTCACAGATTCGCGGATGATAGTATCATCCACACCGCCTTCTCTTCAATGGCTCCAATACCAGCCAGGCAAATCAGAAACGAACGAGGGAGAAATGTTGACAACATAAATATGGACTTGGCAATAATTCTCGAATGGGGACCCAATAACTTGGTAGATTTCAATGCAAACAAAACACAAGCATGCCTTTTCTCTAGAAGAGCCGAAATCACTGTACCAACATAAACTTGTTAGGAGTAACCACACCTTTGAAGACATATACTTTGATGCTTGGTATTACTATCAGCAATAACCTTTCTTGGGAAAATCACGTGAGATCAATTGATAAAAGTGCATCCCAAAAACTTGGTTTTCTGTTTCGGTCCAGGAGCTACTTCACTCCCAGTCAGCTGCTTATGATCTATAAGGCACAGATCCAACCTCTCCTGGAATACTGTTCCCATATTTGGAGTGCAGCACCCAAACATACCCTGAAACTATTGGATTCTGTCCAAAAAAGGGCAATTCGTCTCGTGGGTGATGCCTCGCTCACAAACTCACTCACTTCTCTGGAACACCGTAGAAAAGTTAGCGATCTGGCTCTATTTTATAGATATTTTCATGAACGATGCTCTTCTGAAATATCAACAATTGTTCCTTTCTTGGCAGTCCCCGCGAGATTAACCCGTCGAGTTGAGGCTTCGCACCTCTTCGTGGTCACTTTGGAGACCTGCAAAACATCTTTTTCCAAAGACTCGTTCATCTAACGAACAGTAAGGGTCTGGAACACATTGCTAAGGGAGGTGTTCCCCGAGGCATATAACCTCCAGAAATTTAAGAAGAACACCAATTCGTACCTTATTTCCCTTGGTTCTCACGATGTAACATTACAGGATATCCCTTTTCGTGGGAACCAGGACTTAAAAAAACGATCATATTTCCTCAGCATGACAGACCAGTTTCCCGTTTGATTGCTTGAATCCTATCCTCTTTCCTTCTCTCAGAAACTTCAGGAGTATATCTATTAGCTTCTATTGCAGAAGAAATTCCAATGAGAAATGACAAAATTTCAATATAATAACTATATGTGAGTGACTATAGTACCTATTTTAGATCACAATATACCACTTCTTGTGCATTGTTCAACAGCACAAGGAGATGGCATGCTTGAATGGATGTATAGCCAAAAACACGATTCGTATGCCAAAATATTGTAAAAAACTATGTCAATCCTTTGTAAACAATAAATGAAAGTGAGGTTGTTTCAATGTTTTACCTTCAATGCCGGTCATCTGAAAGGTCTTTCACGCAACCCATTGTCGTGTCAAAACTAATTAGGTTTACCTGACTATGACATCTTGATTCTCTTAAGCTACATCTCATACATATGTAACAATCAAATCACAGCCAGGCTATGATCAAATCAATTATAATTTTTTCGAGGAAACTAATCGTAACCTTCTTGAATGTCATTCAACACAGCACAAACGTTTCATTTTCTATATGATGATACTTGAACTGAATCAAATGAAATCAATCAATCGGTTTGTTTTCATATTTTTTCCAAATAAGGGAGTTTTCTTTGAAGGGAAAATAAATCAACCTATTCCATTGAGTGGTTGTCATCCTAGGGCACAGCCTCTGGGGAACACCACTAGCAGGATTGAATGGATTATTTTTGTCGCTTTATCCCCGTTAACAACGAATTTAATGGAATTGATATTTGTCGAATATCGATGATGAAATTGATTACTGTAGGACTCAAATGGTACTCGATTTGCAGAATGGGCTTTGATGGACGCTCATGTATCTACAGGGCGTTGTGTGAAGCTCCTAGACGTTTCAATGACAAACCCGAAACACTCTCAGAAGATCTGCTGAGAATAATCTTCAAGTAAGCATGATACTGTTTTGTTTGTCTAGGGTCAAGGCCTATATTAATCTTGAGTAGGTAATAACTGATATTATAAGAAACTGTTATTTCAAATTGATCTTGAATCTTTTTATGGAGGTTATAACTCGACAAATAGAGTCGTGACTCCAGATTCTTGTCAGAAACTACAACGATGTTTCAATTTTTTTTTCACAATGACGATGGTAATGTTCACATTTTGTCTGAAATTTGCATAAACAAAAGTAGGTTAGTTGGGGTTGATGAAAATATTTGACGAAGAAGCTGTCCTATGCAGTTCACTAATTCTTCTTGAAAATTGAATTATTACAAAAAAATAAGATGTGGCGCCCAACGTGGGGTTTTCATTATTTTGGTTCGTGTTACTTGCAGCTAACTTCAGCACAGCAAAAATATTTGTTTTTCCCATGTATGCTCCGAATATACTGACCACTTTCCGATCTGTTTCTTTGTGTGAGTCATTGTGATACAAGAAGATTCATTGTGAAATTATTATTTGCTTCCCCTGATGGTTCATTGTCTCATTTGATAGGTTCCCCACCCACCATATCTCTAACGAAGAACCTCGAGATCATCTCCTGTACCATCGTGCCTACAGGAAGGGCTTCAGCATGGAAGAGCAACAGGATTGCGAGCGAATGTTCCCAGATTGTCCCATCTCCCTGATCGATTTGGCTTTGGGAAATTCCGGAGAAGATGGAAACAAGGACACTTGATTGCTCTCCTATCTGATGCGACTTAGTATTTATTATACCTATTGTAGCTATTGTGATTAAACGTCTACTCTGCTGCTCCATTGATTTTGATTTATCGCTAATGAGATCGTCACAGGGGCGGTCCTTAAGGGGAAATCTGGAGGAAAGTAAATTATTTTTGGCATTCATCTCGAAATCCATACTGTTTCCGAAGGAACAAAAGAGCGAGATGCACTTGAATAAAATAGATAATCTCAAATAATGTCATATTGAAAGCAGAGGCAGCACACAAAATAGTTCTAAAGGGTTAGATTTAGTACCACCCCCAAGACTGTTGGTAATCAACAACGCCTAATAGCTTTAAATATTCAGTATTTCCAGTGTAATAGGTGTACTAAATTTCAATTCATTATTCTGAAAATTGTTAGAGGAAACTTTTGATACGGTTGACCATTCAAGGCTGTTGATGAAATTAGAAAATATTGGTTTTTGCAGAAAACCGCTAGACCTGATCAGAGACTATCTCACAGATCGACAACAATACGTTCAGATTGATAACATTAAAAGTGAGATGATGATGATTGCACACGGTGTACCTCAAGGCACAGTACTTGGTCCGGTTCTATTCAACATTTTCATAAATGACCTGCTTGATATTAGCAAGAAGGGTAAGATGATCAGTTTTGCAGATGATACAGTGGTAAACTATAGTGCAGATACTTCGCAACAGTTGAAGAATATAGTCGAAGATGATTTTCTGATAATAAAATATTGGTTCGACATGAATGTACTAACAGTGAATTCTGACAAAACCAAATATCTACCTTTCAACACATTTACCTGATTATGATGAATATTAGCAATAATTCTGGAAAAACCATCATAGAAATTGAAGCGGCAAGGAGCATCGAATATCTCGGCATTATGATAGACAGACATTTTAGATGGGATTCGCAAACGAATTATCTATCAACTATCAACTAATGATATTGTACTACTCCATTGTACAGTCACAACTGTCTTATGGTATAATAGGATGGGGTAGTGCTACCAATACTTATGTGAAAAATGTAGAAGTTGTACAAAAATGGATTTCAAAACTTATATTCAACAAGAAACGCACTCATCCAATAGATAGCCTATATCGAGAATCGGGTATCTTGAACTTGAGACAAACTTGAGACAAATATACGGCCAAACACTATTGATGTACCTCTTCAGAAATCAACACATAATCCGTTATGAACAACATCCCCATAACACAAGAAATAAAAACTCAGTGACACACAAACCCAATGTCAGAAAGACAATTGGTTTGAGGAATCATACTTACTTAGCACTAACATTGTTTGATCTTCTTCCGCTTGAAATAAAAAACTTGAACATCAAATTCAAATTCAAAAAACAAGTTATAAAATGGCTCCATGAAACACCCAGAATGGCTCTTCACGAAATCCAATAACTACTAAAAACTAAAATTGGTACTAACAAAAATGAAAAATAATGCTCACCTTACTTCGCCTACTTATATTATGTTTAATATTTCCTTACTTTGTATAGTTAAATGACTATTATTTATTAATTCCTCATGTCCTTTATTATATGTCTGTTGATCTTGTTATATTTTTGATTCCAGGAATTATCCATATTTACTATCTTCTCGTTGTCATTATATTTCTCAAATTTAGTTATTCTATATACACGTAGATTATTGTTTTATATTATATATGAATGATGCTATGAAATAACTTTATATATTTTGATTATTATTATGGAAGGTGGCCGATCACACATTCTCATTATCAAGAACGTAGTTCTTTTAGAGATGAATGATCAAATGCTATATCATAATAATTAGATCAACCACACAAGTACTTTGTACTTCTGTTCTGTCCCACACGTTTATCATAGTGTCAATGTAATACGAGTTGTATATGTATAGCTTTTTGTATTGAATAAACGAATTAATATAAACATTTGAAAAATTTCGAACTTTGTCTCCCGGTATATCGAAAACGATGCTTCCACGCATATATAATATTATGTTCACATGAGAAATGTATCCTGCAAATAGGTATTTTTCAAGCTGTCAGAGTCCTGTCACAAAAAAATGACTTAATCTGTATTTATTTTCACGAGTACGAGAACCATATATAATGTTAATTATAACCACGATATTATGATGATAGACATCGGCCTCCAATTTCAAATACTGTTTCACCTACATGTAAGTCAACTGAAGTGAGTGAGTAAGTGGAAACGGATGAAGATGGACTCTTGTAAGTCCGAAAAATATCCCCTTGATTGATTTACATCAGTAATAAAGTAGTGGAGATGATTTTGAGTTTTCCTTTTTCATTTTGATTAAGTTCACAGTTCATTTGACTCGTTTCTAAAATGATGATTCATTCGCAGATTTTCATATTTATTCAAGTTAGATTTTGAGAATAATAGCCTAGGGCCACATCAATCAATGAAAATGGACAGTTGAAAAATTTATCACATTGTTCATCTGCAAGTCCTGTATGGGTAGCTGAGTGGTAGAGCTGATGCTCTTCTGGTTCATATGGGAGAAGTCCTTCTTCTGGGTATCTGTGAAAATCAAGAAATATTTTAAAAGGAGTGAAGAAAGACCTGAAAATCAAAAACAATACATTGAAGAGGAAATATCAAAGACAAATGACAATTAATGCAACATACAATATCGAAGACAGTAGATTGAAGATATCGGTGAGCAGATATTTTGGGAGTTCATTTCTGCCTATGGAAAAAATTACAGAGAATGATATCTTGGAAGAAGTGAAATTCTATGAAATCTCTATAGTATTTGTAACAGACAGAATAACTCATTTTGTCTGTTGTAGGCAATTCTAGAAAAAATCGATTTTAAATCCTTAGGGAACACAATTTCTTCATTTCTCCAACTTCCATGTATCATTTCCTTGTGTCTCACTTCGATGATCAATCGAATTCAAATTGGGCAGGTACCATGAGAAATTGGTAGTATATACAGGGTGAGTCAGTTTTTTGTAGCAAACTTTGAAACCCTGTTTATTGGAAACGAAACTCCCACGCATATATGTTTATATATACGATTTTCATCTTGAAAAAATGTCTCCTTCAAGCTGTTGAAGTCCTGCTGCAAAAAACTGACTCACCCTGTATAATAAATGAAAATATGCTATACAGCCATGTTTGGCACTTCATAACATGGAAGGCAATTCCATAAGTGATTCAATGAACTAAAGAATGAAAAAAACACGGAGACTCACTGTGGATAAAATAAAGATTCAAGTTTGTAAATACTATCGACAAGCAACATTTATTCAAGTTATTCAAGTTCATTTCTGATATTATTATTGGTACATTGAATTGATGATACGAATAGTTTTCAAAAAGAAAAATCTCTACTATCATTCCAACACTAGCAATACCACTCAGACGAACTCGACAGGCCTAGCATCGAACACCAACTATCTGAAAGTTTGTGTTCGATGGGCCTAGTAAGCGAGTCCTTTCGTAGTCAAACTTTACCAAAACTCGTTCGTCTATAGAACAGAAAAGCTGTAGAATCCATTACCAATGGAAGTATTCCCAAGAACTTCAAAAAACATTCCGATGCCTACCTCCTCTCCATATCTTCCTTAGGTACGCCCGATGTTCTTCGAACATCATAAGAATTTCCTTTCGTGCGCTTCAAGAGGCAGAAAAGATAATGTATTCGAATGACGAAAGTCCTGAATGGACATAACGAATTATTTGCAAGATTTATCTGTCAGTTAGGCTAATTGTAATTGTAATTTGAGCTCAATTGCAACATCGACCTTGCAATTAGGATGATTGCTATATCAATCTGACAATTATAGTGCTTAGTTGGTAGATCGATCTTGCAATTGAGCTTGATTGTAACATCGATCTGGCAATTAGTGTTTGATTGTCAGATCGATATTGCAATAGCCGAGTGAACTATTTTTTTCGTTTCTTGAATAGAATCATCACTCAATTACCTTTCAATCCTATAATTTTTCAGATTTTTTTGGTAGATTCTAAGGTGCTTAAATCATCAATAATGCCACGGTGATTTTCAAATGGCTAGAAATTTACCGCAAATAAAAGCTGACGTCATGATTTCGTAAATAGGGGCACACTATAGCACAGTTGCCATATGTTCAATTACGAACTTCAGCGATATTATTCATTTATTAATTCATAAATTCTCAAGTAGGTATTGGTAATATTCTTAATTAGCCATAAAAAATCCATTGTCTTTTTTCTCTTATTTGTTGTATCTTATTGCATATAATGAATTTGAGTTATTAATGATTATAATAATTCACACTAGAGGTGATATGGTTCGGTAAACGTGACAACACAGGATTGGGGACGTTGTCTTGTCAGTTTTCAGCATTTAGCACAGCATTGCCAAGTCTCTTGCTCAGCCAACATTCACATGATGTTTTGTTAAGAACTATTTTGACAACCTGGTTTCCCGAAGAAGTCACAATTCAATAACTTCCTACTATTAGGTCAAATGAAATATTCAATTTGGATATTGTTTTATTAACGACTGGACTCTAACAACTTTTCAATAACTTGATCAAAACTGGTGACTCGATAACCTTGCTTCATGAGTGGGAATGGAAGATTATCTGAACAATAATGAAACGGTATGAGAAGTGACGTCACCTAATATCCGACGGTACCTTTGAAATGAGCTTTGGAATTAAGCAATTTCCAAACAACGCATAGACACATTATGTACATACCTAAAGAAAGATTCTTGAAAATATTAATTCAGGTCCCTATAACGATACAGTGGAGTAATTGAATGCCAATATTGCCAATTATTCACTATCCCAAATTTTGCAAACATTAAAACAAATTTCGTTATTTCCATTCAGCGACTTCATACGACTGAATTTTATATAGAAAAAAAGAATCATGGTGGATTTATGCAGCAGTCATAAGTCATTAGTCATAAGTCTTAAGTAATAAGTCATAAGGCATAAGAAAGTTCAGGCTTTGATTTTCAATGAGAGTGTTTATGCACTTTGTCATAAGTCTTAAGTTTTAGTCATAAGTCTGTAGTCATAAGGAAA